TTTGATTTACGTGGGGTGTCCGGGCCAGCTTGCGCGCACCACGACTAATCCCCACGACCCATTAAATATCCTACAAACCTAATAAGTATGTAAAATATCATAAAGATGACAAATATGCACGCCAGGACTCGAACCTAGATCTTTTTCCACTAAGCACTGGAATGAAAAGCATTCTTAACCAAACACGTTAAACTATTTTTTTGTTCAATTTCAATTCCAACTACAATTTTAATCAAACACCTATTTTTTAAAACCAACCTCAACCAAAAATATTTTTTATAAAACAATTTTTTAAACCATAACTATAACAGCCACCGCAATACCAAACACACTCTTAGACAATGTTTGACAACACAATATAAATAGTGTTTTATTGTTTTAATTTTTTAGTTAAAAATTATTTTTTATATGTTTTTGATTGTTTTAATATATTAATATTAAAAATAATTTTTTAAAAAAATAAAAAAAATATTATTTTAATATATTTTTAAATAATTTTTTTAAAAAACAATCATAATTATATTTTTTTAACAAACCTTTAATGTGATAGGAATATTTATAACGATAATAGTAGCATGGTGATTATTGCCGTGACAGTAATAAAGTTAAAGTAAAGATAAAGCGAAGATATTTATGAAATGACTATTGTTTTAATAACAAGATGGTTGCGTTGGATATCTAATTACATATAATAAGCAATCGATAAAATGATAATTATACCTTTAACAAGACGTTAGCTGGCGGCGGCGGCTAGTGATTGCGGGGTTAATGGTGGTTATCAAGCGGCTGTGATGGTAATAGTTGCTACGGTGGTGGCGATGAATATCAAAAGCTGGCATTGCCAAAAAAAAAATTAAAAAAATTCCTATTTCATGAATATTCTCCATAGCTAATAAGATAAATAGAATGCTATTTTTTTGCGACACGGATCTGATAGCACAATAGTTAATGGCTTCACTGCGTGCAAACAAGAAGCAATTTATATGTAAATTAGTGCTTGGCCTAACAATTTTTTTTTACTGCATCTGGATTCAAGTTCTTATATGAATGTTTATTATCTTCGCGGTGTCTTATATATCTTTTGGATTTGCAGGGTATTCAATAGACCATAAGGATTAACCATGGTGCACATAAACTAGTCTGAATACTCCATGTAAATAAAAAAACAAAAACAATTTTATAATTTTGTGGTCGCCATGTCGTCTTTATAATTTCTGTATATGCTTACGCCACGGGGATAGCTTGACGGTCAAGGAGATATATTTTATCCGTTGATTTCCCGAGTTTAAATCTTAAAATCAATAATTATCCGAGTTCAAATCTCAAGGTCAACATCGTACAAACTTGTTCTCGTATAAATCTCTTGAAGAGTTTTGTTTTTAGTACATAAAGTTAAGAATGTCCTTCATCGTAAAAAAAAATAAAAAAGAACTTTCCTGTTCCAGCCTCGTTTTAAATTCAGATTTTGATGGCGTTTGGTATTGTTTTTTTTAAAATATTAATTTTTTAAATTTTAAATTAATATATTTTAAATATTTTAAAATTATTTTGATATGCTAATATAAAAAATAATTTTTAAAAAATAATTTTTATTATTAATATACTTTTTAAATAAAAATTATTTTAAAAACAACCACAACTATATTTTAAACACCTTCTTTAATTGATAATAGAGTTTGAAATTATTTGAAATTAAAATATTTTTATTTAAAAATATATTAAAAAATATTTTTTATTTTTTAAAAATTATTTTTTATATTAATACTTTAAAGTAATTTAAAAAACACAAAAAATTAAATTAAATTAAATTTTATTTAAATATTTTAAAAATATAAAAACAAACCTGATGTAAATACAATCATATCTAAAATATTAGTCACGAGTATAAATAAATAAATTATTCCTAAAATAATTAGCATAATATCCATTATTATAGATGTTGTTTTTTTAGGAAACCTATTAATTGACTATTTGTTTTTGTATTTTTAAAATATTTTTTTTAAAATTAATTTTTTAAAATTAATATATTTTTAATATTTTCAAATTATTTTAATTTTAATATGCGACTATTAAAAATAATTTTAAAAAATAAAAAAATATAATTAACATATATTTTAATATAAAAATATATTTAAAAAACAATCATTCCTTTCATAGACTCCCCCGTGATATTTTAGACCCGTCGCTCTCCCTCTCTCTCTCTCCCGGTCTTCGTTCTCTGAATAAAATATCTAAATCCAAATTTCAAATTTAAATTATGGCAATACGTGTAGGTTTAATTCCTTCTTGGGAAACGTTTACGCGTGTTAACCGAAGAGGCCAGTGGCGTTACCTCTATCCTTTCTTGTTTTTGAGGTTGATCTGAATCTTCCCTCCCGGAGTCCCACCTAGCCTTGTCTTCTTGCTCCATTATGTAAAAGACAAACCCTAAAAAATTAAAGGGCGAGAAATCAGAGAACCAGGGAGAAACCCAAAAGCCAAAACCAAAACCAAAAGAAAAGAGTGAGGCAGGCAGAGAGAAAAGTGAGTGCAGGTCGAGTTTACTCTCCCTGGACTGTTGCCCGTTTGCACCACCACATGATGCGGCTGCCCTCGTTTGTTCACAGAAAAATATTTGTTCTTTTAAAAAGTGGATTGTTTGAAGATTAACTCTTAAAATTTAAATTATTTTTTTAATATCTAACGTCATGGAAAATAATTTCTAATAAAATGGATTATTTTAAAATATTTTCCTGCCCCACTCCCCCCTCTCTTTCCCGAGCACTTCAGCCTATCTATCTACTTTCCTGCTATATAACGGTGAAGTTTTTGTGGTATGTTATTATTTTGGGTTTTCCATCACCATGGATTCTTATGAAGCTGCTAACATGGTGTTTTCAAGGATCCAAAACTTGGAACCTGAAAATGCCTCAAAAATCATGGGCTACCTTCTCTTGCAAGACTATGGAGAGAAACAGATGATACGTTTTGCCTTTGGACCAGAGACCCTTCTGCACAATCTCATTCTCTATGCCAAAACCCAACTGGGATTTCTCTCAAACAAAACCTCTTCACCTTTTATTCCTGCCTCTAGACCCAGTCCCTTGTCCATCCCCTCTTCAAGAATCACAAACAACAATGGCTTTGACATCACAAACCCCTCTTCTCCCTCTGCAAACTCTTGGCAGTTTTCGACTCCCAACTCCAATTCTCCATTCTCTTATGCCAGTGTTGTTACTGGAACCAGTAGTAGTAATGCTAGTTCAACACCTTTTCAGTCCACCGTCTCGTTATCTAATGCGTTTCCTTACAGCAATAACAATACTAGTGCCAGTGATCTCGCAGATGAATATGAACTCCAGGATCGCTTTTCCTTTCTCAATGATTCAAAGACCGATGGTTTATTTGATCCAAGGGCGGAGTTAGCCACGAGTCCAACGGAATATCGTGATAACGGTTCGCACAAGCGAAGTTTTTCAGTACCAGACACGTGTGTTGGTTCGGAAGATTCAAATTCCGGGTCTGGTTGGAAGCCTTGCTTATATTTTACGAGAGGGTTTTGCAAAAATGGTTCAGGTTGCAGGTTTGTTCATGGAGATTCGGCTAATAGTACTGCTGCCATTGTTGGTTCACCAGGTGAACTCTTCGAGTTTGAACACTGTCTACAAATACTTAGGTCAAAGGCAGCTGCCCAGCAAAAGAAGCTAGCAGCAGCCTCCCAGTTCATGTCTGGATCTAATTTTTTATCTCACAATAAAAGCTTGGACTTCCTTCATCAGCAACAAAATGACAGCCAAAGGTACATGCATTGCACATGGAGTCGAGGCTTGAAAACCTTTTTTAGTTCTTACTTGCAATGCTACTATACTCCCCGAATTGCTATTTTCGAAAAGGGGTGGGGGGATATTTGGTAGTTGGTGTTTTAATTGTGGTAGCTCCAATTTGCTGTTTTAGATCAGCTGCGGTAGCTGCATTGATGATGGGGGATGAGCTTCACAAGTCTGGAAGAATCCGGCCTGGAAGGAATGATTTTTCGCAAATTGGACTGGGAGGGGCAACGAGCCCAAGTTCAAGACAGATCTATTTGACATTCCCAGCTGATAGCACGTTCAGAGAAGAAGACGTTTCAAATTATTTTAGGTCAGTTTTTTTCTTGTTTTTCCATGAATAAGATTTGGATTTTGAACAATTTGCTGAAAATAGTTTCTTTGCTGGTGTGGTTTTGAAGCATTTACGGGCCCGTGCAAGATGTGAGGATCCCATACCAGCAGAAGAGAATGTTTGGATTTGTTACATTTGTGTTTGCAGAGACAGTGAGGCTTATTTTGGCAAAAGGGAACCCGCATTTTGTATGTGATTCCCGTGTGCTTGTTAAGCCTTACAAGGAGAAGGGAAAAGTCCCAGACAAGTATAGTCTTATACCATTCATCTTGAGAATATTTGCGTTTATTAGTTTCTTTGTATTGGATCGGTCAATGATAGTTATGTTCCTAATTTAACCATTTCAGAAAGCATCATCAACAGCAACAGATTGAGAGGGAAGATTATTCAGCTTGTCCAAACCCATCCAGGTTCAATTCCAGAGAGCCATTTGATCTCCATATTGGTAACTAAACAAGCCATGATGTTCATTTTATAATCTAAAATTGTAATGGTTTTTAGTGAAGGATTGTTTTTGGTCGTTAGGAGCTAGAATGTTATACAATACTCAAGAGATGCTGAGCAGGACATTAAAGGAAGAGGCTGATTTCCAGCAAGCTACTGAATCTGAAGGGAGAAGGCTATTGAATCTGCAACTTCTAGACTTGAAAAATAACAATCATCATCAGCAACATCGATACCTTCATGGTTTGTTAACTGGGTCTCCGCCCTCACCAACTATCCTGCACAGTCCCAACAATCAAACTCTAGCTTTTCCTGTTGATGACATTGATCAAGATGTTCCTCGAGGTTTGTTAATTGATCCTTACTCGTTATACACTTGTACATTTAGGATCATGATTTTGGATGGCAATGAAGGTAGCATCTACTGTCTTGCTGCAGGTAATGGTGGCAACCCTGATGCTGCAGTTGCTCAAAATGCTGTTTCAGATGTTGACAAGGAAGGGATTCCAGCTTGCGATCACAATGATGGCAATAGCAATCACAGAGATAAAGAGGAGAAGTCCAACAATGAAGAAAGCTATCTCCATGGAAAGTAAGAAAGCACATTTACGCATAGATTCTGGTTAATTTTTTATATGTTCTCCTTTATTTTTCTGTTTTTCGTTGTAGTATCTCCTTTTCATTCTATTCACCATTACTTTTCCCTCTCCTTTATGTTCCATAACTTTATGTTGCATCACGTGAGCAGTTTGGAGCATATTCTCCCAGACAATCTCTTTGCTTCTCCTAAGAAATCAGCTGGTGATCCCCTCACTGTCTTCTTCGCAGCTTCCGTGGAGGCTGATGAAAATACCACAAGCCCAGGTAAATACACAAAACACTCACTTTTATTACATCTATCGAAGGAAGATGGTTAATCATTACTTGCTCTGTTCAGGTTGTCTTCTGGGCCTGGAACCGTTGGCATAAAACACAAGCCCAGCAGTGGATTGATTTGACAATTTTTTAGGGTGAGAGATCAGCAAAATTTGTGTAATGAAAATTATAGGCATATACAATCCATTCAATTTCACAGCTTTCTGTCTAATTGGATTCCCTTATAATATATGGACTCTTTTTTTTAATCCTTTGCAGATATATTGGAAGCACATACAGAAGTAAAAGAAATCCTCGAGCTTGTAGTAGCCAAAAAACCATACCCACGACAAAGAAAAGGATCTGTAGACCAGATCTCAGCAAAATCACCCTCGTCATCAAACCACACTACTTACAACTAATACATAAAAGCATACATAAAAGAGCAGGTGAACTGCAAGGGAGTGGGGTCTCCCTATCTGCGGTTATGTACGTGCTGGGGGACCACTCAACAATTGCGTTGCAGAACAAACAAAGTCCAGTAGTTAATCCCTTATTTGTAATTCAAGTGCTTTTCTTTATTTTGTTTTACCCTCCTTTTAGTATGAGGCGAAAAGAAATAGAAATTAAGACTGTATGGAAGAAAAATACTACTTCTTACGTCACTGTGTACAGAGATAGACCCCAGTAAGGTAAGAAGATCTGTAGCAGCAGAAGTACAACCACTGGACACCAAGACAGACCTTAAAAGGCAAAGAAATGCAATGGCTCAAGCGGAGTGCAAGGGCTGTGCTTCTACAGTCACAGTGTCCTGTGCCCGCCCTTAGATTATAGAACACGTAGAGCTCTATTTCTGGGGAAAAAAATATAGTCGAGGGTAAATAAAAGATTGTTATTTCATGTGAATAAAATCTACTTTAAGGGAACTAAATCCTTTTGTCTCATTTGTGGTTTCTATGAGGTCGACATGAACAGGTTAGGGCCACACTTTCACATGGGGTGTGTAAAATCACTCCTTTCCCTTTCACCCTTCTAACCTCGTTCACGTTTAAATTATTTACCCTTTCTTCTTCCTAGCTAGTTGTTTAACCTGGGTATAAAACTAGAGGTTTCAGCAGCACATGGGTCCATTTAGTGCACTGATTTTCCATGGTGGTGTGATGGCCCGTTTTGTTAGGTTATTGATCTCTTGTTCTTGCGTATGTTTTGCCCGGCGAGTAGATCTTGTACCGAGGATCACCGCGGGGAATATTTATGGTTGATAGCTGAGATGCTGATAGATTTCTGATATTGCTTTGCTTTGCACTGATTTGGGGTTAGGATGTCAATGTCATGCGCCCCTCCCCGAATGCAATTTGCAGGCTTCGCTGTCTCCAATTTGGTTAATAAATAGCCTCCGAAATATTAGTCAAGCGTGGTGTCCAAATCACAACATTTTCATTTTGTGTGGAAAGATTAGAGATGCTTTGGAATAATTAAGAAGAAATGGTAATCACAGCTGCACTTTGTTTTTAATTAAGGATATCACGGTTACTCCTTCGAGTGTCATAAATTGTTAACTTGAGAGTTTTAAAAAATCAATCGAGATACATATAAGTCTTGTCCAGGATTTATTGATGGGATTAGTGGCTAGGGGCAAGTGATCTCTCATTTTCGGGTTTCGGTGGTGGTTGTCAATTTCAAGGGTGATGCTGATTGAAAGTGAGTTTGTCTTTCAATTTCTTTTCTGTATATTTCAAAACGCACTGTGCCAAAGGATCAGAGACTTGATGATACAAAATCTGTGATGGATCCTCACCACTAAGGTCGTCCAAGTTCCAATCGTTTAATATAATGCGATTGTGTCATCAAAATCTCGTTCTTGACGACTCAAACCCTTTTCTTGCTTTTGTTTACCATTATTAGTGATGAAAATTCTTTGATCTTGTTAGAATATAGAAATGAGGGTGAAAAAAGAACCAAACTTTCTTGAAGTAGACCTTGCTAAGAGAAGTGGGATTGATTTTGTTTATGATAAAGTTTGATTGTTAATCAAAACTTCGGATAATAAGTGATGAAGTTGCTTTCTTTATTAATTGAAATACTGAGAATATTTTAAATTATTTTGTTAAATTTCCTTTTCAATGTTGCAGAGTGTTACACAACTTCAAAATTGGCTTTGATCCTAGATATAAACCATAATTTTGTAAAATAATAAATACAAATAGAAAAAATAAATAGAGTAGAGTAGGGTAATTTTCTCTATTCGAGGAATACCATCAATCATTGCTGGGAATAGCAACATAAGCATAGGACTTGCTATGAAATTGGATTTGAATGGATGAATTCCGAGGAATATACCTCATTCAATGTTGCATTATGAACGTGTAAAAAAACAGCCAGTGATTTCGACGGCAGAATAAAGGATGCTTCAATTTCATCGGAGGTTTTGCAAGGAGCAAAAAAGAACAGTGATTGCTTATCATGGCTTTGTATGGGTAAAACCACCCTCTTAGCTTACTTTCATTACCAGTGCAGTATAACTAGAATCCTGTCCCTTAATTACATCAACCCCAACCCAGATTTAATAACCATACTTGAAGGTCAAACTCAGTATTTTCCAACAGGCACCTGGCACCATCAACAAGAATAATGACTTAACCATTCTTAAATAAGCCATGATGGTTGTTTCTCAATGTGAAGGCCATCATCAACTATTATAGTACGGTACTCCTTATACCGAGTTCAAAAGGTGAGGGCGAGTGAATGTGCGCCCCGACACAGATGCTAGCGGGCTGTGCGGTTAAGGACTAAATTAAAAATAAGCCATTTACCTATTTTTATAGGTAAATGGAATAAGTGGTGGAAGGTGCAAACATGTAGCAAACGGTTCCTCGTTAGCTAACCTATTAACCTCAGGCTCGCCTTTTCTTGACAAGGAGGAGGAGATTACTAGTATAACCCTATAAAATCGGTACCCGTGCTCATCAAGCTAGATCAGAAAAAGGGTGCCGGCGGCATTGAAAGAGAAGCTGATGGGATAGACAGACCTGGACCCGAAATTAAACGAGGGCGTTTTGGACCTCTGATTAACTTTCATCCATCGACTCCATTAATGGCACACTAGCAGTAGCAGTTGGACTGCAATATATGAATTGCTGTTTTTGACAGGTTTATCTTAAGAAAGATTGCAGTGAAGGAGATTAGTCAGCAAAACGAGCCCAGAACGTGCACTGTTTCCAAGCTAAAACGGCAGTGCAGTGAGTTCTGACAGTCTTAACGTCACCCTTTCACTGAATCCAACAAGTTTTAAAGTTACTTTTACTATATTACTACCACTGGTACTCTACTCTTATTTAAGTTCCAGCAGCTTTAACTTTTCAGTCCCTGCAAAAATGGGTGGTGGCTTAAAAGAGTTTGTTTGCATCGCACACTGGAAGAAAAATAAAATAATACATTTCAAGATTTATTTAAGAACACAGCATTGTTTAGCAGAATCATGAATGATGAAAAATAGATAGAGAAATTTTTTTAAAAATAAATCGAACTCTACTCTTGTGTAAGACTAAACCAAGCTCCCTTCTCTTAACAGAGACATGTTTAGAAGCTATTTTAAAATCTGGATTTAAAAAATAAAAGAAGCTATATTCTTGTACAATAACAAGCGCTATGCTCTGTTTTCAACAACCATGCATAAGGTGGATTTATTAGAGGAAAGCCCTTTTAGGTTAGGCTAATTAATGCTTTGTATGGGAGACAACACTGCTTCAGCTAGCCTTCTGAGGAGACAAAAACTCCTCTCAAAGTTCTCAATATATTTATTCTAGTCCTCTTTAATTCTACTATTTCATATTCACCCTCTTCTTTTCTGGTGTTTGTTCCCAGCATCTCTTGAAAACTTTTTTCTCTGCCCTCCTTGATTTTTAACCCTTCCATTCCATCTCACCAAACTCATTAACTTTATCTTATATTTCATCTCTTGATCGTGTGGATATAGTTAGAAATATGTTTTGGATGGAAATACTGGTATGTATATACTGTCTTAATTGACTCTAGAATAATTTTCCTTTCGAAATAATCTCGTCTTCTTCTTATCTGCAATTTCTTGTATGTCAGAAGAGCAAGGGAGGCTAGCTGCTTTGAATATTGATGCGTTGATCTAGGTGGGCAATCTCCATGCTTCTGAGTAGGTATTGCTCATACCCCACGCTGGTTGACAGAAAGTAGAGGTAGGTGAAAAGATTGCCAGTGCGTGCACCCACACTTCATTCAAATTTCAAGCACGACTCGGTCGATCACCTTCAAGTTTCATAGCTCGTGTTCTTGTCATGGTAAATAGTTTGTTGATGTAAAAATGCATTCATTGTGTTCGTTGGATCTTGGCTTACTTTCTTCTCCTCGTGATAAAAGATAATGGTTTCTTTGTGCGGGACTCAGCAGCTCTGACTGATCGGTGAGATAAATCCAGTTTAACTTGCGAGTTCTTAAATCAGTTGAGATAATCTTAGCCGATGCATGCAACGTCCCGGCATGATATATAGCTGCCAGTCCATGCTTAGCAACCCAGAGTAGAGTATAGGCGCCGTGGGAATTTATGCCTGGTAAGGGGAACTCGTGCTTCCTTTTGTGTCTGCGATATCATTTTAAATGTGCAACACACGAGATAAAGGAAATTGCACTTGCAAATATAACTTTATAAAGCTCTTTTATTTTTTTTTGACATGACACGGAAAACACATATAATATAAACTCAGATGATAAAATTATAAAATCATAAATAATTTTTTTATTTAACTGATAATTTCAAAATAAAAATATAAAATAATTAAAATAAAATTCAAGTATATACATTAAAATACAATAAAATAAATAATATAAAAATTCAAGTATATACATTAAAATACACAAAAGCTAAAAATTAATATCAAGACGGAAATTAAATTGAACCAGCCGATCGCTACCCCTGTTTATGATTGTCCTGACATCTTTAGCATGAAAGAGTTCCCATGTATAATTAGCGAAACATTGCTAAGACAATATTTTAAAATAATATTTTTATTTTTTAAAATTTATTTTTAATATTACCATATTAAAACAATAAAAAAATAAAAAATAATTTTAAAAAAACCCTTAAGATTGACAAGTATGGAGAGATCTGGTCTGGTCGATATAGTTGCCACCCCACCCGGGCTAAAAACAACCAAAAGTTGGGTTTAAAAACAGGCTCGTATGGACAAAAGAATTATATATATATATAAAAGATGGAGTTGGTATTATCTTATTGATAGTAATATTATATATACGGAGAGTATACATAAATTAAGTATGCCGTACGCACCACTTAACGGAAAAAGGATGAATTTTTTTATACTTTTGTACGGGCCAGAGTATGTATGTCTTTTTAGCAGCCTTTTATTTTTTCAAAAAATATATTTATCAGTTTAGTGTTACTATAATTAATTAATTAATTAATAAATACATGAATATTCATGATTAGAGATATAAATCACGGAGGAGGATCGACTCAAATGGTTTTGGACAGAGAAATTTAATTGTGTTGAATTTTTTTTCTTCAAGATTTTAAACCGAATCAAATAGAAAAATTAAGTCAATTAGTTGAATTTAATTCAATTTGATATTAAAAAATGAATGAGTTCAATTTAATCTATGAGCCTTTTAATTGAGCAATTTGTTTTTATTTAATTGATTTTTAATTTATAATATGATTTTTCAGTTTTATTCATTTTTTTATATTATTTTTCTAAACCAAAACAAAATCGATTTTTTTTTAAAAATAATCAAAATTGTCTATGAAAGTCATTTGTTCTAGTTAATTTCGGGTCAATTTGGACCCAAATTTGGTTTTTCAGACCTTTTTATTTTTAAAAAATCATCGCTACAAAGCATTCACAAGTTTAGAAGAGACCATGGGAATATAATTTACTATGGACGCACTGATTCCGGT